TAACTGGGTAGTATTACCAGAAACCAGCACTACTAAACCTATTTTCAAAATCAACTTGGTTATCAAAAATGCAAAAGAAAATAAAAAAAAGTTGTAAATTCTCTTTCAAGATATGAGCAAAGTATATAATAATATAGATCTTGATATATTAACAAAAGCCATGAGAAGGATTAAACTGTCTATGAAACTTATTAATATTATCATGCAAGGATTCAGTGATAGAATAAACACCATAATCACTGAGGTAGGAACTATAGAACCATATAAGATCAGGAACAGGATAGATCAAGGAGATACGATCTCCCCACTCCTCTAGCACATTTACTATAACCCAATGATACAAAGAATTAATAAGCTGCGTGGATACAAAAGCATAGTTAAAACATATGAGACAGAACAGCTCAGAACAATTTATAATCATATAAACATATCAGTCATAGCATATATAATGATACAACATGGATTGCTGGAAACAGGAAATGCTTGTAGAATATTATCAGCATTATCAACTTATTTTATACTTTTGTACAGGTCAAGGTGAACCCAAGCAAATCTGAATTAATCATAATCAACAATCAAAGGAAGATGAAGATAAACTTCAGACAAACTGCTATCCAAGTAGCTAAAAGTGTAGTATGATATCTAGAAGTTTGGTTTGATCACGATGAAAAGAAGAGACACCAAACTAATCTTATTAATCAGACAGTAACAATCCTTTCAAACCACCTCCTCTGAAAAAAAGTCTCTAATAAGCAAGCTCAGTATCTCATTAACCATGTAATTCTGCCCAAGGTGTAATACTTTGCTCAGGACCTGTGGCTAACGGAAGGCAAAGCAAACATTATTGACAAGAAGTTGCGAAGAGTTATTAAACATAAAACAGGTTTTGCTACGTCAACCCCAAATTCAATATTTCATAGTAATTTGGGATACAACACTTTCATCTTCAAAGCTCATATGTTACAAAGATATCTGATATTAATTGAGAACCTTTACCAAGCAACCAATTATGCAGGGAGACTCTGTAGGGAGAAAATAACAAACCTACAATGGATATCGTGGTTAGAAACAAGCATTTTGAAAAAGTGTTCAAAGATACATCCAATAGGAGTGAACTTTCTACAGAACATGTTGATTAGCACACAAAGGTAGGGTTTTGTTTTCAAGGACCCAAGGTAACCAAAGAGTGTAGCAAGTAAAGTTTTAATATCAATTGAAACAATGATGGAATCAAAATGGTTCGAGAAATACAGAAACAAGCTTCGAGCAAGTGTCTCAGATGGGTAGAACAGTTTGTTAACTATAACAAGACCAATATTATAAGTTGGGTTCAAGTATGTCATACAAATTAACAAAGAGCACAAGGAAGACAACCACATTTTTATAAAAAGATTATTAACAAAATCTTCATAGAAATAGCAAACCCAAACTTTTCAACAAAACTGATCAATCTCTATCCAGGAACCAACCCCTTCCATAATATGACAGGAGCCGAGAAAATGAGCAATAAATCTTTAAAAATAAATAAGACCTAGTAGATAGCAACAGCAGAAAACACAACAAATGGGAAGCTTCTCTTAGGAAACTAAGGAAAAAAAAAAACAGCATTATTATAGTCAGAAATTATGTTCAAGAGACAAACAACTTCGGTTTAAAACCATGCCAGGAATGTGAAATTAATCAAAACTCAAGGAAGGATATCTGCATTATAAAAATACTGAGCAAAGATACAATTGTGATTTCAGGTCATAAACAACAGTTCATAACAAATAGGAGCACAGGTATTGAAACAAATTTGCTGTCATCTTCAGACAGTATCAAATCCAGGTTGAATTAGTAGAAGAAGTGTACAGAGCAAGAACTCGTGGATATCTATATATCAGAAAATCCTGAGATGCTAGTTCATGAAAGATGGATCAAGGACAAGACAACACAGAAGATAATTCAAGAACTGCAATGGTATATGGAAGGTTGACAAAGAGTAAGGGTTACAACAGATACCAACTGCCACGGAAACTTTCACGTCATCACCTTTCTGGTTGAAAATCTTATAATGAAAGAGACAACCTACCTCATATCCTGTAAAATCTTTAGGAAAGCAATGGTGAATAAAGTAGAATTGAATGCAATCATACTTGTGCTACTCTCTCTTCCCGCAGAAGTAAAGATGCTACTGAATATGGATAGCCAGATAGTAGCCACTGCCCTAAACATCAGGAAAAACAAAAGCAAGTTAGCTAGGTTAGTCGAATATACTAAAGACTTAGCAAGCATGAAGAAAATCAAGATGCAAGTCAGGAAGATTGAAAGAAACAATATACAGACTCACACCAGAGTAGATGGAGTAGCCAGAAGAGTAAGACTCAAATGGTAAATTACAAAATTGAACATCACCTCATTTAACAGAAATACATTGAAGCTTAAATACAAGAATAAAGTGATTAACTGCCCTAGCAAAGTTGCAGTGCATAATTACTTTGAAAATACACAGATTCAAAAATAATATAGTCTAAAAAGGAACTAAAATCTTGGTCAGGATATCAACAAAGTTGACTGGAATGCTACAACTGATTTCTTGAAATTCAGGAAAATAACAGTTAGACTAACAGACACAAAAGATCATCAGCGCAGGACCTTTAAATTGAAGTCCTGGATGCAAAAATTACTGATCTTAACAAAACTTCACAACTGAAAAGAAGACATATATAAATCCAATAGATACATTTGATGCAGTGTATTAATAGAGGATCAAGTACATATATACATATACGAAGAAAATAAGTTTGATTTTAGAATGTGTATGATACAATTAATAATAACTTATCTGTAAAGTAGAAAAAAATAAAGTAAATCTTGGGTTTAGAAATAGATGAGAAGAATCAAACAGAATAAAGTAAAGCTTTGGACAAATATTATAGCTAACAGTCTGATCCCTACCAACATGTCAAAACTTATTAGGGAATGGGTCAGGATTTTCAGAAAGAAAGTCAAATCAATCCTTTTGAAATACCTGGAAGAAATCCAAGAAGTTGTAAAATGGATTTGAAAAAGATGATGTGTAGCCATAAACGAATAAGAGATCTTCCAGAATATTACAAAGACAGAAAAAAGAACAAAAGATAAATGGTCATGAAATCCTGCAAAAGTCATACAAGAAAAATCAAGAATCCTGTAGATCTGAACTGGAAGAAACCAAAAGTTTTTATATTTCTCCTCACATCAATACAAAAGAAACATGGTATCAACTCAGCCTAGGCAAGTTAGTTTTTCGAAAAGAAGGCAACAGGCTACGGAGGTCCTTTGGAGATCTAAAACAGAAGGTATTTTTTTATAGTAAATTTAATATATATGCTAATATAGTTCTAATTTCTAGTTAGCTATGAAATAGATAGGACTATATAATATCTGAGTAAAAACTAATAAAAGATCAACTGAAGGCTGAGTCAGCTAAAAAAAAAAAAAAAAAAAAAAAGTTCTTTATTAATATAATACTTTTTATCAATATTTAAAATATTTAAATAATAAAAAAACTATCTAATTATATTTCTTATTTTATTTTAATAATTTGTTTATAATTATAAAACAAAAAAATAAAAATAGAAATAATATAAGTTTAAATAGAAAAAACAGAAAAAAAAAATAGATTTTAAACAATAATTACAATATTATTATTAATTTTAATAAATAATAAAATTAAAATTTAAATAAATAAATAAATTTGTATTTTTAAATAAAAAATAGTAAAAAGAATTTTTTTTTTCTAAAAAATATATAAAAGATTATTTAAAAATTTTAATCACTATAAATACAAATATTTGATTTTACAAAGAAAAAAACTTAAAATATTGAGTTAATTATAAATAATAGAAAAAATATATATAAATTGAATAAACAAATAATCAAGCTAATAAAACAAATCTTAAAAATTAATTAAAATATATTAAGCTTTTATATAAAACTAAAAAGAAATAATCTTATTATAGAAATAGTAGATTTGAAATATTATAAAAGAAAATTAAAAAAAGAATAAAAATATAGATAATAAAAATAATATATAGAAAAGTATATAACTAATTTTATAAAAAGATCTAAAATATAAAATATAAAAAAATAATTAAATAAAGACAAGTATAAGAGATTTATAAAAATAAGAAAATAAAAAAATTTTCAAGTTTATCTAATTAAAAAATCAATATTATAATTGCAAAACCAAATACTTGAAAAAAAAAAATCAGAAAAAAAAAATCTAAAAAAGATTTTAATGAAAGAAATCAAATATGAAACGAAGTATTAAATTTTAATCTCTATTAAAACTAACAAAAATAATTTATAGTGGTAATAGTCAATAATATTAGAAATTGAAAGGATTTTTATTTAAACCATTAATAGAGCAATAAATTATTTTCAAAGTTGTATTTAGAATAATAATAATTAAAATAAGTCAGTTAAAGATTTTATTATACAGTAACATTGTATTTTTTTAATATTATTTAAATTAAATAAAGATTCAAAAAATAAATTAATATGAAAAGATATATTATAATTTTATTAATATAAAAATTATAATTTGAATAATAAAAAAAAATCTATTATTTCAACAGTACAAAAATCTTGAAAATATAAAAATATATCCAAGTTTCGTTTTCAAAAAGACATCTATCTGATAAGAAGAATGAATGCATTTATGCAAAATGAGGATTGCTTCCTATGGTCCGCCCCGAGATTAACACAATAAAAAAGGAATTAGATTAAGTGCACAATCATCCATCAAATTTATTAAAAAAATTTTTTTTTTTTTTTGTTTGTAAAAATGTACAGTATGAGTAAGGGAAGAGAAGCAAAGAAATAGGTAACTACAAAAATAATGCAAACATCACAAAGTCAAAAATGCGACACCGTTATATTAAATCCGTCATGAATACTATCCCGTCAGTAAACAGAATCACCAGCGAGGCACACCGATGGTAGCTCACCAAGCTAATTTCGCCATCGGATTGTTATTAACTTTCCGTCTTAATCCTTTTTGAAGATTCCACGGCCATAAATCCACATTTGGATCTTTTTCCCAATCCGTAATCCCCCACCAATTCGTCAGGCTCTAAATCCACAACATATTCCCTTAAAGTGGCATAGACCTTAGCGTTGAACCTAATGTCGGTGTGGTAGGTTTTTACGTGTTCTTTCATTTGTTGTAGGTACATTTGGTATTGCCAAATCTCCAACCTTGGAAATTTAGCGATGATCAGACAGAAGAACACAAATTCAATTGGAGCGAATTTGTGATTTTCGTTAAACATTACGACATTTTCCTCGATTAACGTGTCAAGAGTTTCAAAGACGGTCTTTGCGGTTTGTTTCAAACGAATTGGCACCTCACGGTCATCCTTAAGATATTTTGTGAGGTTATTATGAGTGAAGACTTGTTTCTCTGGTTCATGCTCGATCATATAGAGGGTTTGGGTTATAAGCTCGAGAGGTTTTCCACGTTTCGTTTCAATAATTTGTGAAATTGAATTATAAGTGGAATATAGACTTTGAGCAAAGTCGACGGTTGGACTGCTGATTGACGCAAGTTTTTCTATTAAAATAAATGGGATTAGAATAAAATCGAGCATGAATTGGGAACACGTTTTTGTTAAGATTCAAATACCTGCATTAGTTAATGGCATGCCAAGTTGAACTCGGCTAAATATTTCTTGTTCTTGGGCCAAAGTTAGATCCCAATATTCGACTTTTAAAATAGGTAAATAGGTAATCAATGACAATGTCGATGTTGATGATGATGATATTTACTTACCACACACAAATTCCGCACACTCAAAAATATTCTCTCTTTCATACTCTGTGAAACAATTTTCACTTTCCAGACTATAAAATCTTCTAGTGCTTCTTGGTGCATCAGGAACAACATGAGGTATTTCATTATTGAAAAATCTAATTGTATCGAAAAAACAGAATATATAATGTCAGGTGATAGTCACATATAAAAAGTTACTCTTGCGATCAAAACTTTTTGTTTAGATGACTTGCCTACGTATAGAAGTTAATCTTTGTTTTCCATCAATGCAAACACGTAATGTTTTGGACCCTTCGCCCTCTTGAATTTTTTTACATGAAAATATCACGGGCGGAACGTAGAAGTTGTTTTTGATCGAATCGATTAAGTGAGATTGTTTTATATCTAAAAGAATAATTTGGAAGCGAACAGTTAGCGTCGATTGAATGTGATCATCAAAGAATATCAATGAAAGAATAGGGAAAGGAGCTAGCAGTTACCTCTCCAGACAACATCTTGATTTATTCGGAAGAAGTAACCGATATAAGAAAGTTAATAGATTATTTTGGTTCGGATTTCATGATTATCGAAAAGAGTCTCTTTTTCAACGTAAAGAAAATAAATTACCTCTTTGAAAGTCTGGATTAAGATCGATCAAACCTCTATTGATCCAACCATTTAATTTGTATAAAGTGTGAGTGACGTTTCTTGGTTTTGATAAAGCTTCGTTGTTATCCATGCTTTCGGTCAAAGGTGTTGATGTGACGAAATAACAAAAAAGTTGTTTATGATAGAGAAAGAAATGTCTTCTGCAAAGAAGAGTTGTAAATGGCGAATTGAATGTAGTGATGAATTATAATTGCTTTTAAGGAAAAAAGAAAAAGATTAATAAAAGTATTCCTTTTGAACAGTGAATGTCCACATGTACATATATATATATATATATATATATATAACACTTCTTTTTTTTTTTTTTTAAGGGAAAAAAAAAAAAAATAGAAGAAACAAGAAATGGTATCAATTTATAAGAAAATGAAATGAGTAAAAAAAAAATTTTTGTCATGAAAAATAATTTGATCATTAGTATATCATTATTAATTAATTGATTTATTAAACACAAAGACACTAGCTAAACTGACTTTTTGAGAGGCTGACCTCTATTTTTCACTTACCTGTTATCCTTTACACTTATTTAATCATAAGACCATAACAAGAAAGACTAATGATGATACAAAACTTTACATCAAATAAATAAATAAATAATAATCCTTTTCTGAATTTGAAAATTTTTTTTCTTATATAATGGTCAATTTTCACATAATTGCACTGATTGTTTGATCTTGATCTCTTATAAATAATAGTGAAATAATACATAATTTTCGCATATTGTATGTGCATACGTTCGTATTCCCGTAAATCAAAAAGCGCACATCATTTATCGGTGCCGCTCATACCCGACAAAATAAAAAAAAAAAAAAAACTTAACATCAAAGCTTAAATAAAAAAAATTCAATGTTTCACGCACCTTGTATGGTACTCAAAACTCCTTTAATCATACAATAATGAGTTACACGAGAAACAGTTCTTAAAATTAAATAAGCCACGGGGTGGCACTTTTTTACAGTTTGTCTTTAATAATAAAGCCGTTTCGGGGCTTCAACACAGTCATATGAAAAATGGTTATACTATGTTTGCGCTACAAAATATTATAATTTATTCTTCTAATTCTATACAAGAATTCTTTTTTTATTATAATGTAGGGGCAAACCAACTCGAACTCCGAGAGAACCTGCTTTAAATTTATAGTTGAACAAGTTTGGGTAGATTATTTATAAACTTACATATGTGAATTCTATCATACTCTTATAATAAATAATTCCTGCATTGTAAAAAATGGTTTCTATGATATAATTTCAGCAATAAATGAGTTTTTTTATAGAATGTTCAACTCCTATGATGATGTTGATGCAAATAATATCCAAATCAAGTGTGACCAGCGTGAATATTCTCATGAAACACTTGGTTTCATAGTCGTGTATTGAATTTTGCATAACATCGCACCAATAAAATTGAAGCGCCCATCCATATACTTTCTACAGGTGCGAAAAATAAAGGTATCACCAGTCTTATTGTTTATCCACGTGATATACTTATTCGATCGCTTTCGGTTAATATAATATACTTTAAAAAATTAAATTTATTAAGCAATTATTTATTAAAAAATTATATATTTTAAATTTATTTAATTCTATAGGCTATATTATTTAAATTAGTTTTTATCAATTTAAAATAATTAAAAATAAAATTTTTATAAAATTTTTTAATTATTTAAAAATCAATATATTATTAATATTAATTTATAAAATAATTTAAAAATATTAATTTTTAATTTTTTAAATAACTTAAATATACAATTAAAATTTATTATTATTATTATTATTTATATTATACTTTATTAGATTAGTTATGTATATTTTATTAAATATATCATAAATTATTTTTATTTATTTATTTATTTATTTATTTTGATGGATTCATATTTAACTTTATTGATTTTCAAATTATAGGTATACATTACACAAAACATGAATACATAGATATATATTCAGTGTTAATAAAGATAACAATAAGCTAAAGTTATTTTTAAAGCTACTTTGAGACTTATTGCCTCTTCTTTTATCAAAGAAAAACCAGTATCTTTAAAATATACCATATCATAAAATAAAAAAAAATAAAATAAAAATTGAATAATTATATATAGTGTATCAGTTCTATTTCTTGATACTAGGGATCGCAACAGATTGAATTGGATCAGATTTTAGGTAAATCTGATTCAAATCTGATCAGATCAGTTTTTATTTGATCCGATTTATATCTGAACGGATTTATTTTTATTTAATCTGTATCCATTTGATTAATCCAATATTTTTTTTAATTGAATTTTTTTTATTTATTTTTTCTTATTTAATGTTTACTTGCCATCTTTAGGTTTTATATATAAATATTTAATTAATAATTTATAATTTTAATATTTATAATTTATTGTCATTTATAATCATTTTCTTCTAAATTAAAATATATACCTATATAATTTATATTTTTTGCAATATTGTTACTGCTTTGATTTTTTTTTATCGATTCTTTTAGTGCTAGCAAAGCAGAAGGATCTTATTTTATTTTATTTTTTTTTTTAACCCTAGGTCAGGCTAGGTATGTGTACTTTATTAAACATTTGTATACTGTACATTTTAAATGATTCGCTAAAGCTAAGACTTTACCTAAC